CTCCTCGCGGCGGCTCCGAGGCACCAACACAAAAGCCAGGCAGGGAAGGGAGAGATGGAAGAGGGAGCAGCCAGGAGCCTTCTCCCTCCTTCTCCTCCTGCCTGTGCCCTAGGCCCGGACTCTTGGGCTGCGACCCCACCGCGCGCCCCGAGCGCGGCTGCGCCTGGGCCAGAGACCCTCCCCTGCNATCCCCAGGGACACTCCGCGGGGAGGAAGCCTGCGGAGGAAAGGGGGAGGGGAGAGCGGCACACACCAGCGGGACGGTCTTCCTTTCTCCTTGCCCCCATTTATTTTATAGGTCTCATGCTCCCCGCGCCCCCCTTTCTTGGAGCGTGCGGGGGTCAGCGGGCCAGGAGCGCAGCTGGGGAAGACAAAGAGCTGCACCCTAAGGCACCTCCGGAGCTCTTTGGCCTCGGAGCGACATTACTCCACTGAGCGGGGCGGGGGGGTGGCCTGCGGGGCGGAGACACCTCTTTCACCTCCGGGGCTCGGCGAGCTGAGCGGCGCCTCCGCCGCCCCCTCCCGAGCCTCGGGCTAGAGGGATGCTCTGTCTCATTGGGGAAGCAGGTGCACTCGGGAGCCGCGAAGAGGAGCCTGGGAGGGCGCTGCCGAGACACAGGACGCGCCACGGGCAGTGGAGGCCCGCGCAGCTGAGAGGAGGCAGCCGGGGGCCGCCGGTGCGCGCGTGAAGGGGGAGTTACTGTTGCTGTCACGGGCCTGCCAGATGTAGGGGGGCGCGTGCCAGGCGCCAACCTCCCCTCATCACACCACGAGCACCCATCCCCTGAATGTTCAGGAGAGCGGCTCCCATTGGCTGCCGCAGTCGGTTGTGTTTGGCCGGCCAATGGGGAAGGCCCGCCGTGGGAGAGGGCCATGAGCGGGTAGGGGAAGGGGGGACCTAGCGGTGGCTGCTCCAGCAAAAGGGGACTTTGTTTCCGGGGCTAACCGTTCCTGGCCCAGGTGGAGGGATCCTGGGACTAGGCATAAGCCTCACAGTGTCCCGCATTCCCGAGCGCCTCTATGTGATCAAAAGTCCTTCCCAAATGGTGGAGTTTCAGGAGAGATTGAAACCCCTAGGCGGGTTCACCCCTCTGCAATTGAATGTAGAAGAAAGTGGTTGGGTCTAATTTGCCGGAAGCCTAGATTATGCTTGGAAGATGATAAATGAACAGAACTTTCTTACGGTATTAGGGGGCAGCTTCCCAAAGCTTACTACGCATCACACATCTTGGTCAAGACCAGTATTCCCTCTCCTGAAAGGGATTTCAGGTTCAGAATTTGTCTGAAATAACTTCACTGAGGCACAATTTACATAAAGTGCACCCCTTTCGCATTTGCTGTTAAGACTCTATCCATCCTCCCACATAGTTCACGGGAGTAATATTGACATATGCCAGTGGCACCGAGGTGAGCTATTTGCTAATGTCATCAAGGTCAGGGATTCCAGCAACACACGTGAGTTGCCATCTTATTTGTATGTAAAGCTGAGTTGCAGATGAGACAAACGTGACTGAATCCACCCAATATGAGAAAAACAATTGAGTGCATCAGTGATAGGTCTGTGAGCAAGTCGAAATGCAATTGCTTGGCCAAATCCAGGTTACAGAAAATGTCTGGGAAGACGGGGCCTTCTAGTTAATAAGCTTTGTAGCTGAGTTAGCAGATATATTTATAACTAACTCTTAGCATATGTGTGGGTCACCCATTTCTAAACCCCTAGATTATGCTATTCAATATTAAAACCATCTCGAGGATTTAATCTTAGTTGGTGAAACCAAGGTCATCATTATGAATACCAATTCCCATTTTGTAGTGTGAATAGCAATCATCATTTTGTTTTGTTTTGTTTTTTGATTGGCTGATGTCTCGGTAATAGTTTTCTGCATTATTCTTCTCTGTTTTTGAAACTAAATCTAATGATTATTATGGGGAGAGGTAACTATTAATTAGGCATATCCAATAGGTAGAGTGGAAAGAAGCTTTGCCAATTCATAGCCAGAAGTAATGCTAACTTCCTGATATAAAAAATTAAATCCACATAATAAGATTATTTAGATGTATGCTTCCAGCAAAAACTTGTAACTGAGTCTGAGAGTTCACATTATATTTGTAAGGTAGAAACTCTAATAAAAAGTGTTTGTTACCTCTGTGGGGTGATATTGGTGAATTTCCAATTATATTTCTGGAGTTAGTTTGATGTGTGTATGTTACTTTTGCAAAAAAAAAAAATGATGAAATATAATTTTAAATTAAAAGGACAAGAAACCTACCTCATTGCACAAATTAAAAGTGCTCTACAATTGCCCTGGCCAGTGTGGCTCAGTGTTTAGAGTCAGCTCTAGAGCACCAAAGGGTCTCAGGTTTGATTTCTAGTCAAGGGCATGCACCTGGGTTGCAGGTTTGTTTCGGGCCCAGTCAGGACACATGCAGGAGGCAACCAATCAATGAGTCTCTCTCACATCCATGTTTCTCTTTCTCTCTCTCCCCCCTTCCTTCCCTTCTCTCCCTCCATTCCATTCTCTCTAAAAACATCAATGGAAAAAATATCCTCAGGTGAGGATAAACAAAATAACAAAAAAGTGCTCTACTATGCCTTTTCTTTGTTAATTGTGCATCATTAAATTGTCTTTCAAAGATACCTGGTTGTTTCCATAGGTACCTTATCATCATGATTTTGACAGTATTTTCCAAAGCCTCTTTCACAAACAGATATGATTATCTTTTTATTTAGTCAATCCATATTTACTACAGGCTTTTAGAAATAGCAATAAATATCAATATCTGTAAGGCCTTTAAAATATTAAAAAATATAGAAATAATTTTTACCTCACTGTAGTTTATATTTTCAATATTTATCCCCCAAAGCAGCCCTGGCTGGTGTGGCTGGGTTGGTTGGGCGTCATCCCGTGTACAGAGGGGTTGCCAGTTTGATTCTGGGTCAGGACACGTGCCTGGGCTGCTGGCTCATCCCCGGTGGGGTGTGGAGGGGAGGCAGCCTATGGATATTGATAGATGTTTCCTCTTGCATTGATGTTTCTTTCTCTCTCCCCTCTCCCTTCCTGCCCCTAAAAATCAATAAAAAAATCTATTTTAAAAAGTCACTCATTCCTGTACTTCTGAACACCCATTATTCTATTTTTTTAAATTTAACTTTATTTTTATTGTTGACTCTATTACAGATGCCACCCATTTTCCCCACCTTTGCCTCCTTCCACCCTGCCCAGGCCCCCAAGGCCTTCACCACTTTATTGTCTGTGTCAACAAGCTATGCATATATGCATATACATTCTTTGGTTGATCTCTTCTCGATGTCCCCACCCCTGCCCCTCCTGAACATTATTCTTAATGAGTAAGGGAACTGGATCGTTTTTACCCAGTAAAGACTGTTTCCTGAGTCAAACTTCCTAAAACAATGCCTTTGTAATTTCACCCTCTATCCCTATTTTACTAAAAAGACAATGATAATGTCATCACCTACAAGATCAGGGACAAGCCCTAGCTGGTTTTGCTCAGTGGTTAAAGCGTTGGCCCCATGACTGAAAGGTCCCGAGTTCGATTCCCCCCAAGGGCACGTGCCTGGCTTGCAGGCTCAATATCCATGTGTGTCTCTTACACATCAATGTTTTTAACTCTCTTTCTCTCCCTTCCACTCTCTCTCTCCAAAAAGCAACAGAAAAAATATCCTCCGGTGATTAAAAAAAACAACAAAAAGATCAGGGACAAACTCTTTGGCTTGTTCAAATCTGGCCCCACCTTATTAACCTGTCCTTATTTACTTCCTAGTATGTACTCTCTGCCATTGTCTCCTGAAAATGTGCTGGGTTTTGTTTCTATTATACCTCCAAGCCTTTTCGTTTAAATAGCATGGTGCTTTCTCTAAGATACGTTAGAAATATTAGCTCATTTACTCTTCATATCAACCCTGTGAGATTGGAAGATGAGGAAAGTGAGGCATAGTTAAGTGACATGCCCAAGTGGCATAGCCAGGATTCACCCTGGGGCAGACTGCATCCAGAGTTAACAATGTGCAGCCACTAAAAATATTACCTTTGGTCCCAATGTATTCACCACCTGAAATATCATTCCTCCTCTTCCACTATTTGAATTTTACTACTCACCCTTCAAGACAGGCTCAAGTAACACTTCTTGCATGAAGTCCTTCCTTAGCTATCCCATCACATACTCTCTTCTCTTGCTCGGGCACTACACCACATTTTAATTTTTTTAAATGACCAGTTTATGTCATCTCCCCAACTAGACAGTGACCACTTCCTTTACTTTTCATAAACCGCTAGAGCCCCCTGCATAGTATAGGCCAAGTGGCAAGTGCTCAATAAGTACTTGTTGAATGAATATGTAACCCCAAACTCTGAAAAAGGCATATGGTATGTTTTGCATACAGTCAAAATTGTATTTCCAATTCAGCTTACATTTGGTAGGGTCAAAACACCTATTTATACTCAGGCCTCACACCGGACTCCCCCCCTCCCCCAACTCTAAAAGTCCCGTTTAGGAAATCTCTCCCGGAGTGCCTGTGAAGCACCAACGCTTTTTGCCAGC